CCCCCCTGCCCCCCCCCCAGCCTCTAACCTCTATTTCTTCTCCTGGATGCCTGCTGCTTAAACCTGACCTCTTCTGGGCAGGAAAAAGCTCATGCACCTTTTCTTCCCACCTCATGGCTTGGAATAAGCTGTATGTGCTGAAAATTCCAGGCTCTTGAGCTTTTGGAACTCAGGTCCATGCAATAAAAATCTCAACTTTCAACAGTATTATCCATCTTAGAATTAAAAAAAAAAATTTTCAGAAACTCAACTGACTTCTCAGCAGCAATTTTAGCCTTTCCCTAAAGAAATGAATGGCGCTGAAACAGTGGGCAGAAAATTTCAAAGAAGCGGAAATTGTGAAAAACAAAACAAACAAACAAAAACAAAAACCATCTCCTTATCACTGAACTTGTATCTGTCGCCACATAGTAGAAGGGGTTCGTTCAATATTTGAGACAGAGACCAGAGCCCATAAAATAATTTATACTGATAAAACCAATCATTCTTTTTTGACTTACTGTAATTAATAATGCACTACCAGTAGTTAATAAGACATGATGAAGATATTTAAAACATTTTAAATATTTTAAAAATTCTATACCATGGGGCTAGCTAGGTGGCACAGCATTAATGTGCTACTTAAGCAATGCTGGGTCCACATGGAAGATTGTAGGTTCTGGTCCGCAGTTGACCTGTACATGCTCAATATACGTGTGCTTGACCCTGACTGGCTGGAAAGGCTAGGGGTGGGGGAATAGCTGCACGAGTCTGTTGAGAGCTTGTCTTTATTTTTTTTATTTTTTATTTATTTATTTATTTATTTATTTATTTATTTATTGGAGAGGTTTTTGCTATAGGGTGCATGCACTCGCCAGACAGACAGACAGAGATAGAGAGGCAGAAAGTGAGAAATCACCCCCCAGGGGGGATGGCCACGCCACAATCCCTTCTCCTCCATTCTCCTCTCGGGATCTTGGGCACGCAGGCACACGTGCCCGGCATGAGTTTTAAGCCACCAGGTCCGGGACGCGAACTGCAGTCGACTACGTGGGAGTCCAGCGACATAGCCATTACGCTAACTTCTGGTCCTGAGAGAGCTTGTCTTTCTGTCTCTCTGTCTCTCTTAAATAAAATAAACTAAAAAAAGTCCATATCACTTAATGTATTATCCGTTATATGACCTCAACTCGAGAAAAATTCAAAACAGTACTTAACCTTTATATATTTTTTAAGAAAATATTTCAAGAGATCACACTCCTCATCTACATGGCATCCTGTTGTAAAAGCCTCCTCTCTGTAGAAGGAAGGAGGTGACTTTCAGAATGGTTGAAATGTTTCACAGTGAATTTTAAAGGTGATGGCACAAGTCAACACCCAAGAGATGCTGATCATTTATTTCCTTGTTTTTAACACTCATTTTAAAAAAAAAAATCTTTCTTCTCATTTTGGGTTCTTTTTTCCCCTTGAGCCCAGGGATTAAATATACAAAATAAATATTCAGTGTCTGAGAGGAAATTGAAAACAATGTCTAGTCTCGTAGTAAAGGACATATTACCTTCTCTAGCAGTCTTCTAGACAGGTATACACAAGAAATCATATTATAAGAGTGGAAACTGGACCAAAGAGGAGGAGGAAAGAAAGGACATTTTTATTTGTACATCTCACAGTAAAATAAACTCCTCATTTGAACTCATTTAACCTCCCCCAAGAAAAAAACCGTATAGTAAATGAGACAGATATTATCAGTCCTATTACAGTTAATGAAACTAATGTTCAGAAAGATTGTGCCCATGCAAGGTCACATGCTAATAAGTGATGAACTAGGACAAGTACAGATCCAGGTATTCTGATTCCAAATCACACTCTGTTTTCACCAAAGCACAATGGCATCCCTGATTAAGTGCATGTAGACCTGAGAACTGGGACAATTCCTCTGTGAGACTCTTCCAAAATAATTGTCTTTTTGACATATCTACTGAAGACTATGGCTGAGACTTATATATATATATATATATATCAGTCTATGTATATATATA